ACTGGCCAAACGCCATCAATAAAAGCAACTATAAGTATTTAAAAAAAAAATATTATGCAAGTGTGCGCAGAAAGGAAAGTACAGTATTGCATATTGTTTTGACCGTGATCCGTGGCATGCCCGCGTTTGAGAGTGCTGGCTAACAGAGTGGAACAACGCTGGCGTCCAGAACGAACGCCTCATTCGACACCCAAACATCGCAACCTCCTTGCTTTGGAAATTCCTCCTTGAAGGCACCTGCATAACCATCATCATCCGCATCGCAACGATCAACAGGCCGATGCGTCCCATCTCTTTAGTAGGTGGAATATGAAAGACAGAACCACGGTGCTGGGATTCCCACCATAGACACACAGACACACGCCGGATTATAAATAAGACCCTCTCTCGTTTCATGTTCTACTTGAAAAGACGGGAAAGAGGCGCGTCTTATAATCTGTATAACAGGTTACAAGGCTGCTGTAACGAACGACGCGGACGAGAAAAGGTTTGGAGCTTTCTTAGCAAAGTCCAACTTAAGAATGAAAAGCAGCATGGCAGTGTGCCTGAAGATGAAAGTTCGCACTCAGTGCGCACCACAGTGAGGACCAACCACGTGGGGACACACTGGCAGAGCGGATTGGACAAAAGCAGAAACGTGCGCACGGAACAATCGTGGCGAGGTGCATTCCCTGTCTGGACATCTAATTTGAGATGACACGCTAGATGCGAAGCGTCATATTTGCTGCCAAGAAAAGTAAAGTTGCCTTGGGCAGGATACGTCGCCAGGAGAAGGGCAATGATCCAGTGGTCGAGACTAACCATGGAGTGGCAGCCAAAATAGGGAACGATTAACTTAAATTAACTAAATCTTGACTTAAAGCTTTCGTGACTGCAGGAATTCATATTCTTGGTTCTTTCGCTAAAGCCACGTAGATAGATCAAATAATAAACTAAACTTTGTCTTATTTACCAGGTATGGCCCACGGAGCTAACATAGTTGTTTTTCGGAAGCGACCTGGCCACGAATGACAGCCCAACGAAGTGGTTTATGTGGACATTTATAGCAGTCAAATACTCTAAGCGCGCGTTTCTAAATGTGGAGGGGAATACCGGAGGATCCGGAGAAAGATCCACGCGACCACGGGGAGAGAGACATGCACAGCAGGCGTCAGGGGTCGAACCCTCGCCCACCTGTATGCCACTGCAGATTGATGACAACATCGCCACAACGTGAGAGACGGTGACAGTTTTTTGGGTAGGCTTTCACCCAGCAGTGGATAGATCACGGCTGATGATGATGTTTCCCATTGTGGAGAATGGGAACCCGCAACTCGGTATGATATACAAATATCCAGCCCACTCAGTGCACGTGCATGCTACAATAATGCTACAGTAATACTGTTTGACTTGTACAGCATGCACATGATAACAACGTTCGGATGGCCACTTGCCAATCCAATTGGCAATCCGCTTCTGGACGAAAACCAACGCACGCCCTATGGGCAATTCGGCCATATTCGCACCCCGCTGGGTCGGGTGAAAGGGGGGTGGGGTGGCTGGCTGAGTAATCGAGTCACATCATCGCTCGCCAATTATGTTCACTCGTCGAATCGAACTGGCAGTCGGCGGATTCATAGCCCGAACCGCGCTAACCACTGCGCCACCGCTCCTCCGCCACTCGGGGTGCCCGAGGCGTTGTTAAGCAAAGGTCGCGGTGGTTATTTTTCGTGTTTTTTGTTTTTACGGGGAGCGTGGCGTTGGACAGCATCCAATGTAAACATTGTCCTGCACCTGCCTGTGCCGCTGGCTGCGCCCACCCGTGCGTGCGTTGCACAAACAACGCAACTAAACATGGACTCCTCGACTAACAAACGGGTTAGGTTCCAGAGGTCTGTTGGTAGATATAGAGGTCCGTCTACCTCGCCGCCGACTCGATTGCCGATCTCGCCGCTCCCTTCTGGGATGGGCGCTGTCGTCACCACCACCACCATCATCATCGTCGTCGTCGTCGTCCTATAATCTCACTCGGGTCCGGAGAAACGCTGCCGTGCGAACGGTCGTCCAGAACAATCCGCCTCCTCTTTCGAGACCCAAATACTAAATCACACTTCCCTCCACGAAGACGCCGTGCGTAGCCAACCCGGTGGAATCGTCAACCGCATGAGAGCATCGAAATCGTTTTTGGTACATCACCGGGCCGATGACGCACACCCTCCTCCACGAAGGGACGATTAAAGAGACGGGTCACCGCGAGGGCGATTGCGGCCACGTGACCCGGACTATGGACCACGGTAATTCGCCACCGTAGTCTGAGCTCCGTCAACGCAGACGAACCAAAATAAGTATAACCCGTAAAAACAAAGTTTTTCACTATAAATCCTTTATATGCGTGGCGGCTAGAGTCCTCTCGTCCTCTGGCTTGAGATGGCTGCCACCTATGGGTCAGATGATTGTCTGCCAGTATTAAGCAATTGGTAATTAAATATTTAATTTGTTTTCCCTAAACAGTGTAAAATTTAGGGAATTTTTTTCACGAACATTAATTGTCTCGCACAACGAGTCTGTGTGCAAAATGTCAGCTCGATTGGATCACGGGAAGTGGGTTAAAAAAACGACTGGAAGATTTGCACGGTCGTAAGCAAGCAAGCAAGCACGCAAGCACGCAAGCAAGCAAGCAAGCGAACTTAATATAAAGGATTGAAAAAATTACCCGTAAAAACTAAGTTTTTCACTATAAATCCTTTATATGCGTGGCGGCTAGAGTCCTCTCGTCCTCTGGCTTGAGATGGCTGCCACCTATGGGTCAGATGATTGTCTGCCACCATTAAGCAATTGGTAATTAAATATTAAAAAAAAATTCCCTAAACAATGTAAAATTTTGGAAAAATTTTTTCACGAAAATTAATTGTCACGCACAACGAGTCTGTGTGCAAAATGTCAGCTCAATTGGATCACGGGAAGTGGTTTAAAAAACGACCGAAATATTTGCACGGTCGTAAGCAAGCAAGCACGCAAGCACGCAAGCAAGCAAGCGAACTTAATATAGAGGATTTAAAAAGGCAAAACCCCACGGGCCTCTTCCCCACGACGACGCTCTCGTCGTGACGAGCGGACCTCGACTTTCGGGCGGCACCTCGATCCGGAACACATTGTCATCATTCGGACGATGAAGAACAGCGTAACCACGACGACCGCTGTGCCGAAGCTTTACGCATCATCACCACGGCCCCTCGGGAACGTATTTACCATGTGGAGTTGGGTTCTCGTGGTTAAGAAGGGGAGGGGGGTTTGGCGTCCCCCCGCCCTCATCCAGCAGCGGATTTATAAAGGCATTGCACCAAATATCGTGTGAACGCGCACATCGACAAAAAAATAAACCACATGATCCAAGGCCAATTAAAATCACCATCACTCTGGGAGTCACTCAAAGGAATACCCGATGGCGAAGAAGCACCCTTTGGGCCAGCAATCGAGCGAAATAGTGTCCATCACGATCCCCGCCATAGAAACGTGGAATTTCCACCACTTTGTTGAGGAACGGCGACGCCACTGGCCAGCGCTGCACAGGGTGCGTTACTGCGGGACTGTTTGCACAGCACGCGCACGCCGTCAATTCCACTGTTGGATGAAGGCCTTCCCACGCCGCGTCGGCAATAATGTTTGACTATACTTCACCACTTTGGTGAGTGCGGGTTTGGTGATTGGTGGAGGGAGCGGTTCAAATATGGCTCGCCCACTGATCGATTGATTTGATGTCAGCGGTGGCCGCGAATCGCATTAACGTGGCCAGGTAAATATGGAACGAAATGTTTGATGACACAGCGTTGCCAGTGGCTGTACAGGCACACAAACATAAATAACACCGGCAACGTTTCGGGCAATTATCCTTTGTTTACAGCACATAGAGAGGGCGAGAGTGGGCATAACTGCTGCGCTACCGATGCACAACCCCAATGACAGCACGTGCGTACTGCAGTCAGGCACACGTGCACGTCTTCTCTGGGAGCCGGAGGCGTCAGGCTTGACGTACTCTCACCTCTCTCTCTTACTCGCCCTTGAGAAGGACCCGGCACGCGCCGTCTGCGCACGGCTGCGTGGGCATAGCGCGCGTAGCGAAAGTTGCATTCGCAAAAAACATTCTCAATCCACTGCTGGATCTGGAGACTTCCCCCCGCCCTCCCCCCGCCCTCAACACACGCTGTTGTTTGACCATACTTCACCACGATCAGCTATAAACACTCGTGTTCTACTTTTGTTAGCCGCTGTCCGCTCACCACCGGTGCTCCGTCCAACCCGCTGAACACGATGCCTGTTCAGCCGCGACGTATTTAGCGGGTCCTCGAATCATCCACGTGAGCACCGTCGCCCGCAAACACGGTGGGGTGCGAGTAAAGGTGCAGCCCTGCAATTGCTCAAGCTCCCTACGCAGACGGTGTTTGGCCAAACTCCTTCGCGCTGGCCAGACGACTTGGAGTAGAATCGGTGGGAGGTCCCCGCACTTTACCCCACCACGCACGACTTGCACATTGGCTCTGGGTTTACCCAATTGATATCGGTCGCTAAACACAGGTGGAAGGATGGGGTGGAAGGATGGGGTGGAAGAATGGGGTGGAAGGATGGGGTGGAAGGATGGGGTGGAAGGATGGGGTGGAAGGATGGGGTGGAAGGATGGGGTGGAAGGATGGGGTGGAAGGATGGGGTGGAAGGATGGGGTGGAAGGATGGGGTGGAAGGATGGGGTGGGTGGGAGGGAGAGATTTGATCAGCTTGCCCATTATTGCAGCCTACCGCACTGGGAGATAGAACAATCGAACCGGCGACCTCGGCATTGCAAGTCCATTACGCTAACCACCACGGGAACACCCCCCACCCCCGAACACCAGGTGCAATGCATCTAAACCAAACTCATGCGCGCATACACGCCACGTTCTCAAATTATCCGAGTGAAGCATCATCATCATCTTCGTGGTGGTGGTGGCGAGTTAAGCACAGACCCGCGGCACACGCTGACTCGCTCACCTTGACAGAGGAGGCTCGCCATCCACGCCACAGCCTGGAAGCGTCCCGGCGTCAGCCTCGGCAATTTCATTTCTCCCAAAAAAAAAAAGATGTCGTACTTGAAGAAACTTGTTCGTGAAATGTTCTTCCTCCGAACCAATCTTCTCCGCGGCGTCTTGCCCTTCTCAATCAATCGCCACGAAACGCGAACTCATGTTGCTAGTTCTCAACAACAACAACCAACCAAACAACGGCAGAAACGCAGAAATTCTGCGCTCCGCCCCTCCGTTGACTTGCGAGCGCTGAAGCGCACGAGCGACTTCGTGCGAGTTGGCGACGGCCCGGGCTTGCCCTGCGCGCTGCTGTTGGTCACGAGGCGTCCCGCGGTGAAGCTGCCCCTGCGCCTCGCTGCTCCAAGTCCCCGCGTCCCGGCGAGACTGAGCAGCTCCCTCCTCCTCCTCCTCGTCCTCCACGTGCGCACGGCCACTGCGCGTCACTGAACAGGAGGCGTGGCCTCTCCTTCAGCCCCGCCTCTGCGTGGGCCTCCTCCTCCCCCTCCTCGTTCGACCATACTTCACCGCGCTTGCAAAGGGGGGAGTGTGAGCGCAGAGCGACAATGGATTTTGGTGCGCTGCCCTCTGCTGTACGCGGCGCCTACCGTAACCCGTCTTGCGCGCATAGCGGTCTCTGTCTCGTTATCAACATCATCGGTGTCATCATCAGCGGCAGGGGCGGCCAGCTGTGAGTGTGTTGTTAGTACTCGGAGCGATTGGTTATTAAAGCGCCATGCAATCATCGCGCTGACATCACCACCCGACGGCTGCCCGCGTTCATCCACAGCTGTGCATAACGCGTCCCGTGCCATGGACGTACGGACGCATGGCACAGATCGCTGTTATATTACACTGGTCAACACACTTTTTCTGGCATAAGATATTCCAACGGTCTTAATGTAATTTTGGGGTGCTGATTCCAAATCTGGCATCAGGTTTTGTCTATCACATCAGGTTTTTGAGATATCAAATATTGCATTGTCAATAAAAACTGCAGAAGAAAAATATTAAATAAATGTGGATATCTACATAAAATGATATTATAAACACACTATCCTAAAAATACAGCACCATATTTTAACACTAAAGCAGTCACTGACTCGCAACAACTTGCAATCATAAGTGACAGAGTTAATTTCGGGTAAAATCAATGAAAATGGGGTATGCCGATAGCATACAAATGAGATGTGAAAGAGCAAATCTGAGATAAGATTTGGAATCAGCACCCTGAAATTAGTCTAAAACAGCTGCAAAAGTCCAGGCCAGAATTTTTATTTTTTCTTTTGTTGACCAGTGTTATCCGAGTTGCATTGTGCTGCGTCAATGTACCGGTGGTTGGGAGGAGGCAGGGCGGTGTTTGACCATACTTCACCACGCCGGTTAGTGTGGGTTGGTAAAGGCGGGTAGCATAGACATGGGCGCATAGCAGTGCAGTACAACAATGGATTTCGGTGCACTGCCCTCTGCGGCCCTATTCGTAGCAAACCACCGTAGCCGATAACACCTGGGGGGGTGTGCGGTGGTTGCCCATCCAAACACTATCCAGGCTCAGTTCTGATTAGCTTCCGAGATGAATATAATATATTAAGATTATTACATTAGTTAATAATCCAACAACATTTCAACTTTATACAATGAACAATGTACACAGGATCTCTTCCGTATCGAAGAGTATCCATAATACAATACTCACCAGGTATGCTGTGCAATAATAATCAACAATGTTAATTGCCATGCCTTAGTCAGTCAACTGCTGGATGAAGGCGTCCCCATGCATGCCGTGTCATTATGTTGTGGACTGTTTGACCATACTTCACCACGCTGGTCCGAGTAGGTGGGTGAGGTCTTTTCGTGTAGAGTTTCGCATTTTAAATACGAGTCCAAGCGCTTTCCCACATTCTGTGAAGCTCATCTATTCCTGGTTTCTCTGCATTGCCAATTCGTCATTCTGATCTAATTAAATAAATTAAATTGCGAATATCAATAACCGCGTGAGGCTCAAACGCATTATTTAAATGCCCAGCCCTACTGGAGCCGGTCGGACGAAACACACCTTGCACTCAAATAATGTAGCCAGGGCGACTATTCTGCATTGGGATTTGGAATAAGGGGAAATTGCATGTCCGTTTTACACTGCTAAGAAAGGCAAGTGGGAGCTTGAGCACGTGGGCAGGATGATGGACGATGGTCAAGAATATGAACGATAACAACAACAACAGCGTGACATTCGACGAATGGAATGCACCCAAGAAGGAAATCGAACTGAGCAGGTGGAGCGATGGAATCCGTCCCGTGCAGCGGGGTGGATTGTCGTCGCCCAAGATCGTTGGAGGAGGTGGCCGCGGCTTTGGGAGGCCTTCATCCAGCAGTGGATAGATTGTGGCTGCTGATGATGATTGCGGGGAGGTAGAGCGGTGGCGGAGTGGTTAGCACACTGCGCTATGAACCCCTTCCGCCTGGAGTTTGATACTCGGCTCGTGATACCTGAACCAGTCCATGCCTCTTCACTGCACCGACCCGCACTGACCAGCGTGGAGAAGTCAGAACAACCTCCACGACCCACAAATGGGGTCGTGATGATTCCTTCAGGTTGATTGATTGCTCAATGTCTATTCGTTACATCACTGTATCTATTGACGAATAGAGGAAGTTGGCTTCAAATGATTCAGATGATCTGTTAAAATGTCCACGTAATTAAACGCAGCATTTTGGTGATGCCGCTGCTGCGTTGACAGCGGTGCAAAAGCACACAGAGAAAGATCCCCCGTGTAGCCTTAACAGACTGCTGGGGCAAGTGCTGTTAGCAAGCACCTATGAAGGCCGGCACGGCACACGAGGGGGTGGGTGGCCAGCTCCACGCCCGGCCGCCTTTGTGTCCCTAGTGGCGATGTTTTGACACAGCACCAGGTACTCATTTGAGGCTGAGTCGACCGAGGGGAGGCCCAGGACCGGTTCAAGATAATCGTCACTGGTTGTAGCCGTGAGCGGGAATCGAGCTCAGCGTGCTAACCTGCTACACCACCGCTCCCCACAAGCATACATACCACACACACATATCAATAAAACTGCCTTACAAAGGAAAATATATCATGGGCAAAGTTTAGGGGCAATGCCTCGTATATATACGAATCAAAACACCATTTATGTGCTGTGACGAATATGAAGACCATTGGCCAAAACGTCGTCTTATATATTTTTTAAATCCACATTTTTTTGTGAAGGCCGCAGTGTTATTGACGAATGCGTTGGGTTGTAACGAATCTCTTGTGACGCGTTAATTAGATAATGAGGATGGCAAGCGCGTGGCAGGAGGCGCGCAGGAGCTGGCATTTGTTTTAAGGGAACTGCTGCTTGGGGGGCGGGAGGGTCACGTGTCGTGTTACAGCCCCGTCAGGTGCGGCCTCAAACAGCGGCAAGACAAAGGCCACTGACGTCACTGGACCTCCTCATAGTCCACTGACGTCACTGGACCTCGTCATAGCCCACTGACGTCACTGGACCTCCTCATAGTCCACTGACGTCACTGGACCTCGTCATAGCCCACTGACGTCACTGGACCTCCTCATAGTCCACTGACGTCACTGGATCTCGTCATAGTCCACTGACGTCACTGAACCTCGTCATAGTCCACTGACGTCACTGAACCTCGTCATAGTCCACTGACGTCACTGAACCTCGTCATAGTCCACTGACGTCACTGAATCTCGTCATAGCCCACTGACGTCACTGAACCTCGTCATAGTCCACTGACGTCACTGAACCTCGTCATAGTCCACTGACGTCACTGGACCTCGTCATAGCCCACTGACGTCACTGAACCTCGTCATAGTCCCACTGACGTCACTGAACCTCTTCATAGTCCACTGACGTCACTGGATCTCGTCGAGTCCACCAGGTGTAAAACATGGACCACCAGGGAGACAAAGGCGGCCGGGCGTGGTGCTGGCCACCCCTCGTGTGCCGTTCCAGCCTGGAGAGCTCCTCGCGAGCAGCACTTCACTGCTGGCCCCAACAGCTCTGAAGGCTGTGGAAGGGGGGAGGGTGTGTGGGTGTCGGGGGGGGCTCTTTGTCTCTGTGTGCGTGTGTGGCGGCAGCCAGCACCGGGGCAAATGTGTTTGTCAGCGCCTCGAGTTTGCGATCCGAGAGAAGGCAACGAGCGGCTGGCTGTGCGCGTGGCGCTCTCTTCCGTCGGTGCTTCGGCTGCCCTTCAGGCTCGCGAGCGGACAGGTTGGGACAAAGACAAAGATCCCCCGTAATAGCCCGAACAGACTGTTGGGGCAAGTGGTAGTAGCGAGCACCTATGAAGGCCGGCACGGCACACGAGGGGGTGGGTGGGCAGCAACCACGCCCGGCCGCCTTTGTCTCCCCAGTGGCGATGTTTACACACCGCGCCAGGTACTCATTTGAGGCTGAATCGACCTAGGGGAGACCCGGGATCGGTTTAGATAATCGTCACTAGTGTTGGCCGTGAGCGGGAATCGAACCGGGGTCGCCAGGTTCGTAGCGCAGCGTAGCGCTAGCTGCTACACCACCGCTAATTGGACAGGTTGGGAGTTCACACACACGCAGACACAATATATCTGTGTGTGGGGTCATTATTTTACGAGAAACATTCAATTGACAACATGTTAATGTGTCACTGTGCTCTGTTCTGTGACCCGCCCCGAGACCCCGTCACAACTCAGCTCGTGCGGGGTCCACAGTGCGGGAGCTACCCCCCCTCCACACGCGACCTGCAGGTCGACTCACCGTGGTGGTGGTGGTGGCGCACTCGTCCCGTGCTGCGTACAGCAGGGTGGACAGAGGTGGGGGAGGGAGGAGGTGTGGGGGTGATTGAAGGAACCTGCACCACTGTATCTACTGCCGTCATGGGAGATCGAAATCATCTGATGGTTTGCAAGTCACAGTGTGCTCACCATGATTACCGTGCCAGCATCACACCCCGGTGGCTAGGAGATGTTAACTACCTCGCCTGGTATATACAGGAGGTCGTGGGTTCGATCCTGACCCTGAAACTGACGCCTGCTGCTGTATGTTTGGAGTTTTCGTGTTTCTCTCTTTCCCCGATGACACGCAAATTCTCTCCCCCGTGGTCGTGTTTAGAGTGTTTGGCTGCGACACTTTTCCACGCGATAAGCCACTTCGTTGGGCTATCACTTGTGGCCAGGTCGCTTCTGAAAAAGAGCTACATAGCTCAGTGGGCCATTACCTGGTTTTAAAAAACTAAAATCTATGCTCACATTTATTTTACCTTTCTAAAGCGACTCAAAAGAGACGTCGTTTGGTCAAATCGAGAGCGTGCTGGTGTGCTGCGTGTCCCCTGCATGTCACACACAGCTGCGTGTACCTGGCACCGTCAACGCGCGCTGATTGCTCTGCGGGAGACGCCAAACGTGTAGAGTGTGCGTGCGGCATTGCGATGCGTTCAGCGCCGCGTGGCTGTCCCAAAGCAGCGGGCATCAGTCACACGCGTACGTCAGCTCACAGGAGGCTTTCTTTCGGAGATGTGAGACACAAAAGTAAAAAAACCGCCCACCCAGAAGTTGTGCACG